TTTGGACACATTTCAGCATCTTTGAACACTTTTTTTGCTTCTTGTAAGACTCCTCTGACTATCTATGAGAGTAGGGATTATGCTGGGGGGATAATAAGACTGGAAGGACTCTGAGATGGACTTCCTGTGGAGGAAGGAGGAAGAAATAACAGAAATTACTTTAAATATATATATATTTGGGGCATCACCTTTAAAATTTGCTTTTTGGCCCACATTGCTTCTGGACACACATTAGCTATCCCCCTGCCGAGGAAGTATGTCTCCATCAGAAATTAAACCAAAACAGATTCTATGGGAAATTAGCTGCTGGCTTCACAAGCAACTGTCTTTTCTGAATCTTTCCTGCTTTATAAAAAAAAAAAAATCATTTCACATTTAGTTTTGCATGATATTTTAGATGCATTTCTCAATTATCCTGGTGAGTTTTTCAATTTATCCAGATGTCCTGAGCTAAAACAAGGAATTCTAAGGTCTGATACCGCCAAAATGATGGGCATGCTATGGGCTTGCTTTTTAGCTCACCTCCTTCCTCTGGAGTCCAAGGTGAGTAAAGAAGACAAAAAAGTTGATCTGCTTTATTTACCTGCTTAAAATTGAGCCTCTGCTAGCAGGATTGGAAGTGAGCTCATAGGTGGTGTTGTAAGTTCTGCTGAGGAACTGTACAGCTTAAATGACTGCCCTGATCACAGAAAAAGTCAGTGGCAGAAGTAGGAAATTAACTGTATTTCTCATTGTAGGGCATGTAATTGCACCATTTTCATGACTCTGGACATGAATTTCTCTTTGGAAATGATGCAAATTTTTAACTTTTCTTACCTATAGAGTAACATCTTCCTTCTGATAGCAATTGCAGATAAAAGACTGGCTATTTTGATATCAATTTTTATGTATCCCCAGGTTAAAAGAAAAAGGAAGGAAGGAAGGAAGGAAGGAAGGAAGGAAGGAAGGAAGGAAGGAAGGAAGGAAGGAAGGAAGGAAGGAAGGAAGGAAGGAAGGAAGGAAGGAAGGAAGGAAGGAAGGAAGGAAGGAAGGAAGGAAGGAAGGAAGGAAGGAAGGAAGGAAGGAAAAAGAAAATGTAACTCTTTGCACAGCTCTTGATATATTTTTTCTTATGAGAAAGTATCGCAACTCAAAATAAATTTAGTACCTTCAAAGTAGCTGAAGAATAGTTCAAAATAATGGCAGGGTGACATCAGGGAGACAGCCAGGAAAAGCCACGCTAACTGAGACCAAGGAGATCCAGCTGTCTTAATTCAAGTAAATCTCTGCCAGAGAAAGTGGGAAGGAAATATATAAAGTAACAAAATCGCAGACTTCTTGTGTTTAAACGTTTCCACAGAAGTCTAACTAAGCTTGAAAGTTAATCTTTAATTCAAAGCATGGGAAATACCAAGGAATCATTTACATGGCCACAGATCACTGGGGGATGCAGTAGTCTGACTTCATAAATCACAAGCAAGCAATGTTAACTGAACCCTTAGTGGCTTTTACCTCATTTTCAAGGGACTATATATCAATTGCCTATTTTTTATATACTGGCAGTGATCAAAACAATGTACAGTGGGACACATGTAACTGTGGGGACTATTAAGAGACTTCCTGTGGCTATGCTTGAGGAGATCCCAAAACTGAAGGTACTGAAACCCACAGGCAAAAGTTTTACATATCATTGCTGGTGTTGCAGCACCCAATTCTATTCTGCATTTAAAATTACATTAGAAATACTTCAAAGTCATTGTCTCATTGCCGGTCTGGATGTCTAGTGTCATCTAGAGACATCTGCAAATGGTAACCTCTCTCTAAGCTGCAATCATTTTTGCTATTGCTGCCTTTTGTGAGTCATGTAAATGTCTCCCTCTCCCCAGGCTCTAAAATGGGAATGATACCTCACAGGGATACTTGGGAGATTTAATCAGCTGTCTTTTACCAAAACCCATTGGTAAAGTAAAATTTTCTTTACCAGATGTACCTTCTACAATGCAAATATATATATATATTTATTGTTAGGAAATGTAATAATATGTCGTCTGTATGCAGTACACATAAAGAGCATGCAAACATTATTTAGTATCTTTGAAAGTCATTGGGGAGTCATTTTTCAGAGCATATTTCTAAAGAGCCTGTGAACAGTGAGAACCTCTCTTAAACTTTTATTGAATTGTCTGAAAATATGAGGTTTGCACTCCAAATTACAGCCCTTACAGGAGCTGGGGAAAATCACTTTCCAATGGGTGTTGACTCACTTGTGGTTCAGAATAGAAGTCTGTAGTCCTAGAATGCCAGATCTAATTTGGTTACAGTAAGAATCTGAATATAGCTCTTAACATCTGAGTTTTGAATAACTTGAAATAACTTCCAAATAGCAGTGAAGTTACTGATCTGAAAACTAATTACTCACTACCAATATCAATCAGTTTGCTTTTGTAAATGGTTATCCAGGAGAGGTAATAAATGAGAAAATCTGTCGCCTTGTATCTCTTATTACCCAAGATTATACGGATGGACCTACAAACCCTTCCTACATGATCTTTTCCCTATATTGCCAGCAGTTTCAGTAGGATGTCTCTATCTGATTTATTGGCCTGTGGTGGTTTTACTCAGATGGGTGGCCGAGATCCACCTCAGCCACTCCTTCTCGGTCACTCTCCTCCCCTGCACTGTGGGGTTCCTCCGATGGGATGCCATTCTTCCCAAACTGATCCTGCGGGGGCTGCCCACAGGCAGCAGCTCTTCAAGCACTGCTCCCCCATACCACGGGGTCCATCCATCCCCCAGGAGCAAACTGCTCCAGCACGGGTCCCCCATGGGTGGGCGGCAGCTCCCCCCAAACCCCTGCTCCTGCATGGGCTCCTCTCCACGGGCTGCAGCTCCGGCCCGGAGCCTGCTCCTGCGGGGGCTCTCCATGGGCCGCAGCCTCCTCCAGGCCACATCCACCTGCTCCACCGGGGGCTCCTCCACCCATGGGGGGGCTGCAGCGTGGAGATCTGCTCCATGTGGGACCCATGGGCTGCAGGGGGACAGCCTGCTCCACCAGGGGCCTCTCCACAGGCCACCGGGTAACATTTGCTGTGTGTCTGAAGCACCTCTCCCCCTCCTTCTTCACTGACCTTGGTGCCTGCAAGGCTGTTTTTCCCTCTTCTCACTCTCCCAGCTGCTGTGTGTAGCAGCATTTTTTTCCCCTTTCTTAAATATGCTCTCACAGAGGCACAAACAACATCACTTGTTGGCTCGGCTCTGGTCAGCACTGGGGCCCTTATCTAACATGGGGCAGCTTCTGTATTCTTCTCACAAGAAGCCATCCCTGTGGCCCCCCTGCTACTAAAACCTTGCCACGTAAACCCACTACACAGCCTAACAGAATTTTACACAGCTCTCTGTGAACCCCAGGCAGTTTAACCAAGTGGCATGTGTTGTTCAGCTGTACCACCAGTGACGCTGGGGTTTTTATCCTTAGAGTGCATAGAAGGGGAAGAGTAAGGGCTGCTCTCTGCCTGTTGCCCAAAACTCCTGGTCCCATGGACCAAAAAGATCAGGCATCCTGAGACCATCCCCACTGCTGATGAAGTCTGCTCGCAGTCTGTAAACTGGAATTTTATTTTTGGCTTGTCAGGGCTCTCTTACTGAGACTTTAAAGGCTTACAAATGCTTCTGGTGTCTGTGATATGAAAACACAGCAGCTAGGGCTTGGCAGAGGGTATGGAGGAGATTTATAAGATTTCTATCATGGCAAGAAATACTGTCAACAATTCACGCAGGCAAATACTGTCCTACTTATTTCTTGCGGATGAAAATGTGTGTGGTGCTTCTGAAATAACATCCTTGGATGTTTCCATCTCCTAGCATATAAAGTGACATTCTACAGGGTTTAAGCACTGCAAAGCAGTGTGGGCCATTTGCTCAGAGAGCTATCATGTCTTCAGAACAAAAGATAAAAGAGATAAATAGCCAAGTACAATATTGTACCTCAACAACCTAAAAGCCAATCTCAGAACTGAATGGAACAATGGAGAGCTTTTATTTCTCATTTTTTTAAAGAATAAAGCTCAGTGATTTCCTTTGAAAGCTATTCAACAAGCTCCCCTAAATCCTATTACAACTTAATGTGAAATGCATCTGTTTCCATAAGAACAACAGTGGCACCATTCATCCTTTGTAGTCTGTCCTTTGTTGTGTTCTCTATCTATTCTTGTAGATTTTTCCACTCTAGTAAACCAAACGCAAAACAAGAACTGATAACGTTTCAGCCAGAGCATGTATTAAGTTGGTGCTGGAAATTCAGTTTGTTCCTGCTTGCTGCCTGAATCATGACAAATTAAATTATTGTTCAAGAGGGAGTTTATAATGTAAAGGAACTGTTCTGATACTGTCCCAGCATTTCTTGAACGTGAAGTCTGTATCCAGCTACAGATATTTGTCTCTATCTAGTAGCAAAGACGGATATAGTCTCTGCATGCCTATATATACACAAACCTCTCACTGTTAGCAAAATCCAAATGTACTGCAATGTATTCAGCCTGTGTGTCTTAAATCAGTTGAACATCAGCCCAGCACTGCATCATATTTTTAGAACCTGCACATATAGATCTAAGTATAATATTTATTTAAGGCATGACTGAGCAGGTGGGCAAGACATTTTATGTGATGAACACTATTTAACTGAATTGACATTCAGCAGACAGTGAGGCATATTAATTCTTAGGAAGATGTATACTTAAAAAACCTTAGACAAATTGGGAATAGAAAGAGCAAGATGTAACATGCTTTTTATTAATGTCTTGCCTGTGGAAAAAGGTGAATTTGATTATTTGTATTCTCTGAACCCAAAGGCACTGTGCCTTGCTCATAAATATAGGAGTTTAGGTTTTAGCACCGTCAGTCCTTTTAACCTCCACCATCATTTATTACGGAATTAAACAACATATTATTTACGATGAGAGCTATTATGGCTAATATGGCTGATGTGTTTTAACCGGTTTTCCCTTTCATTGTCTCTTAATCAGGTAACAGACATTAAAGAAAAACTAAAGCTCTCTAAAAAGTTCTGGTCAACATTCCCCTACACAATCTGCAAGGACGAACGAGTGACAGCCGGTCCATTAAATGAGGAGGACTGCTGGAATGGCCATACCAAGGCAAGGTGAGGTGGACCCTTTCTCATTGGACTTGGTCCAAATCCCCATCAGGCCTGAAGCAATCACAAAATGGAGTAAATGTTACAAAGCTGTTTGTAAGAGCAAAATAGAAATGGGGAGAACAAGTAATTGTTCACACGTAGTTTGCAGCTGAGATTACCTATTGTCAAGGTGCCATTAAAGCTAGAGTGTGAGTAACTGTAAATGTGCACAGCGTGCCAGCATGTGAACACGGAAAATGTTCACTGGTTCAGCTCCAGAAGGATAATTTATACTGAGATTTCAAAGAGCTCTTTAGCTCCATTTAGTATCCCTGTGTTGGGACTGACAGCTTGTGAAGCAATTGCACTCTTGGGATACCATACTAGGATGAAGCAGAAATTGGAATTTTGGCTCTATTTGCTATTGGCTGGCAAAGCTTAGGGCTATTTGCTGTGAGGAAAAAAAAAAAAAAAAAGAGAGAGAGAGAGAGAGAAAGAAAGAAAAGAAAGAAAGGAAAGGAAGTAAGAGAGAGAGAGAGAGAGAGAGAGAAGAAAGGGGGAGAGAGAAAGGGGGGAAGAAAGAAAGAAAAGAGAGAAAAAATAGCCAGCAGAGAATAAATATAATAATCATAGTTCTCTTGTGCAGAAGGCTTGACCTTATGTTACTTTATTAGAAGCGCTATGGTCATTTGCCATTTTTATGTGATGACTTTTCTGTGAGTTTTAATTTTGAGTTTTGCATGTCTCTGGCTTTGGCCAGGCTGGTGCTAGCTGATGAGCAGGTGTCTCCAAGTGTCCTAATGTGGGTTCATTAGCAGACAAAGGAGAGGATCTGATTAACCCTGCAGAGAAAGGGAGAGACAGATTGACTCAAGGAGTATAATAGGGGCAGTCTGGTCTTGGGTCTGCACCAGTAGCCTGTGACTATGAGGAGACAGGAGGAGTTTGAGTGTCCAGTGAGTGCTGTTTCTAGAGAGCAGTAACACCTCTTTCTCTTTATCTTCCTTTTACCCGATGATACAAATGAAGCTATAATTTAAATTAAATAAAATAAATAAAAATAAATAAATAAAAACAACCCAATAAGAAAAAATAGAAGCAAGACAAACAAATATAAAATCTCAGTGCAAATAACAGAACATAACAAAAACTCACAAACCTGTTAAATATCATTTTTTATGGATGGCTGGGTAGGCGGGTGGATGGACAGATACAAAGACAGGTGGCACCCATGCCATCACCTCGCCAATTTTATAGGGAACACACTACAGGGGGAGGTCTTGCAGTGAATACATGCCCTTTCACTATGCCTTACTGCATAATGCTCAGAATAATTCAGTTTACAGACCAGAGAAGAGAGCTGTATGGGCTGCTAATAGTCCATTGAACCCACCTTGAGATGCACCTGAAAAAATCTGTCCAAAACCAGGAGCACTCTTACAGGTCACTGCTCCATTCCTTTGTCCCAGATCCAGGGAAAGCCCCTGGGGACTCCAACAAAGACACCTGAGAGGAGCGTCTGGCTGTTACAGCATTCATCACAAAGGAACAGCGTGAAGAGAGAAATAAAGATGTGTTTTTATCTTCCTCGATAATATCTGTTCTCGCAGGTGTGCTTTGTAAGCTATGACCCCAGGCTGGCATGCTGCAGTGGTTAAACAGAATTTCCAGGCCTCACAGCTGGGTACTGTGTGTCACATCAGGACGCACACATTAATAAGAGATATATGCTGCTCTTTCTACAAAGGAGCAGTCAAAGCAACCTGTTAATATCCCTCCTGCTTCCCACAGCCAGTGCTAGTGTTTGTACCACATCTAGCAAATACTTTTCATCTCTCTTGTGCACTAAAGGAACTAGCAAGAGCTCCAACTTTGGGGAGAGTTTTGCAGGTTCATTTTAGGCTTTTCATCCTCCTTTTGCAGTATTTACCATATGGGAAACCTGGTTATTTTCATTAGATTAATGTTCCGGAGCTGTTAAGAAAATCTATCCTCTGCTGATAATCTCCTCGATTAATTTAACACAGGCTTTCCACTGGATGTGGAACCATAGCTTCACAGCATCACCTGAAAGCACAGTCTCAGCAGAACTAACCACAGATTCTCTATTTGTTCTCTATTTTGTACGCATTCACAAAGGAAATGCATAATCATAATCTTAATAACAGAATTCAATAAATGCTTCAGGTGGAGAGAATAGTAATAAATCAGAGAGATACCATAGGATGTCATGGCCTGTATATGAAATAATATTGAACATGTAATTAGCTTGGTATGCAAAATCACCTCCTGACTGGTGAACAAAGACATTTACTGCAGCGTAAAGAAAAATCATAAATGTTTCCATAAACATATTGACTACCATCTGATAGCAAACACTAGTTTGAAAGAACAAGGGTAGCAATATCTGGCCACTGTGCATATATTTACTTTTGTTCATTGTGTAGTCTGTTATAAGCACCCTTGTGTTACAAAAAGAGTTGCGTTTTGAGTTCCAGAGAATATGATAGCAGCTCATGAGAAAATAAAAGAAAGGGAAGGGAAGGGAAGGGAAGGGAAGGGAAGGGAAGGGAAGGGAAGGGAAGGGAAGGGAAGGGAAGGGAAGGGAAGGGAAGGGAAGGGAAGGGAAGGGAAGGGAAGGGAAGGGAAGGGAAGGGAAGGGAAGGGAAGGGAAAAAGAAATTTAATCACTTCCTGTTTTCCCTAGTTATTAGTACTACAAATGAGAAAATGAGAAGACAACATGTTGTTGGTCACTGCTGGGAAAGGAGATTGTTGCTGGGTTTTGATCAGAACTTGTGACTGTATAAAGAATTAGAAACTTTGAATTGCCAGATACACGTTATGCTTCATATTTCATTTTACACATCGCCCTCCAATGCTGCTTTTGCAGGAAAAAAGTTACAAACCTGAGATCACACAGAATGAAAGCTAGGCTTCCTCCTGAGAGAGACATTACACCAAGGTCACTTGTGGTTATTGCAGTCCCCAGATATCGCTCTGTTGCCATGATTAATTTGCAGTGACACCAGCGGGGGCTAAATGAAGTTTTCCAATTCACAAATAATCATGGGGTAACAGAGTGATCCATTATGGCGTTCTGGAAGGGTGCACTTGGCATGTTGCTGATCCTCTGTGAAGAGAGGTTTTAATCAGGTCACATCAGGTAGAAACCAGGTGCTGTGCAAATGGGAAAACATTCATTAGGTGGATGAATCTCTTTTTTTTTTTTTGGAAAATCAATTTAAACAAAAAAAAAAAAGAATACTTCAGACAAAGTGCCTTTCAGAGAGATGCCAAGCAGAGATGCTCATCATATCTGTATTCATTAAAAAAAAAATTGAACATAATTTTACATTTAAATAATGGATGTCTTCTGCCAGATGCAGAGACATATTTTTTTTTAACACATTTAGAACGTAAAGCCATAATTAAGACCAAACTTTAGAAATGTAGCTCCTCTCCTATCTGCAAATAAATCCTTAACAACAGCTGATAACATCTTCATTAATACATGTTTTCCAGAAATTAAGGGAATTTCCCAGGAATTTAGGAATTTAAACTTTAGGAGGATTTACACCAGATCCCAGATATTATTCCTTGAATAAACCAAGTGACTGTTACTGCAGTGAGAACACTACCCAAATCTGCAACCACTCTGATGGCTGGGAGAAGAGCATCAAATTGCTCCAACCACCTTCAGCCAACTGGGTTTAACCAACCTACATGAGAGATGGTGTCAAGAACAAGTAAACAGGTAGATAAGGCAGGCAGTAATTATAAGATAAAAGAAAGCTAAAGAGAAAAAGAGAAAGCATAAAAAAAAGGCACACTACAATTTTCAATGTCTAATACAATACTAAATGGTATTTCATCAAAATGAGCAAGGACCATGTCTCAGCCAGCGTGAATTTTTCCATTTTTCTCGTCGTGCTACATGTAGGTGAGCACATACTCCCCTTGCAGAGATCCTGGTGAATCTCAGCTGGGAAGAAGCAGTGCCTGCCCTGGGCAAGTGACTCCTTGCTGGTCAGCAAGGCTTGCAAATAGAATGAGCTGAATGTGCTTTATCCAGGTAGGCAAAGACAACCATTTAGTGCCACCAGTGGAAGTGTGAAAAAATCACTTCTTGGTAAGTGCAAAAACTGCCTTTTTTAACTGCTGGCCCTAGTTTATTTTTGTGGCTTCTTGAAAAAAAAAATAAAATTGGCAGATGAACTATTCTCTCCCTCTCCTTCTGGCTCCTCAAGCTTTGCTCCAACATGGTTAAGAAATTATTAAAATACTGAAAACATCCTTTGAGGGTTACGTCCTGAGCAAACAGATTCAGATGAGGTGATCTAGTTAGCCAAACAAGCTAGTTTTCCACTGCACTTATCGTTCTGGACCAGCTGTGACTGCCTACACTCATCTCAGCCTGAGTAAGCCTGTGCTGCATTTTGTGCCGTATTGCCTACAGTTGTGGGCACCTGGAAAAACTCCAGTAACTCCAGTACTGCCAGGGTGGGATGCTCCAGTTCTACTGCAAGCAGCTGGCATGATGGCAAAATATGGAAAACATTGCCCTTAAAGGCAGATGTCTTTTAAAAACAGAATATTCCTTTTTTTTTTTTTTTTTTTTTTGTGTGTGTGTGTGTGCGTGTGTGTGTTGTGGTTTTGTTTTTGTTTTGGGGTTTTGGTTTGTTATTTTGTTTTGTTTTTTGATAGCTGAAGCTTTTATGTAAATGATCTGAAAGATTTATCAGTCATTTTTAGATGTAAAAAGGAAGCAAACACCCTAGAACATTAAATTGATATTAAAGGAGGGGGGAGAGGGAGAGAGAGTGGTTTTAAATAGGCTTTGTGGTGCTTGGCTATGGTGTGCCAAAAAACATTTTTGTTGTCTCTGCTGAGACAAGCAAGAACTGCAGAAAGGCTAAGAGGAACAGAAAGCATTAATATTTTAGAAAACAATGTAAATTACACTAAACTCCTGACACAGCCGAACAAGGAGCAAACAGCAGAAAACAAACAGCATTGTTCAGCCTCTCAATAGTCAGAGGACTAAGAACGTTGGGTTTGGGTTTTTTTTTATTTGTTCTTTTGCTAGGAGAATGCGAAGATTCAGGTTGGCATGATTTTGGTTTGTGGGGTTTTTTTCATTTATAATGGGCATACAGCTCTTGTAATGGCCAGGCACACAAAGAGATCATTAATGAGAGCAGAAGCAGCAACAAAACTTTAAATTCACAGGGGTGTCTCCACTTACAGAACTGCAGCAAAAGCAGCTGTGTGCAACAACTTTGCCCAGCCAGCAACAAATCTTCTGTCAAAAAGTGGTCCCAAGGCAAGTCTTGCAATTCAGTGCAACTTAACCCTACCTTGCACACATCAAAATGCTTCTGTCAGAACATGTGCTGGGATGCTTCTCAGAGACTGCCACTCAAGAAACACCTTGGGCTGCATGTTTCCATATCTGTACCAGTCCTCTAAAAAAGGAAAAACAATTCAAATATATTTACATTCAATATAAGCTTTTTTGCTTTTTTTTCTTTTTCTTTCCCTGAGGAAGTAGGTAAACCAGTTCAGTAATGAAGACAGAATTCAGCTTCACATTCAGACATGTAAATTCACACATTTAAATACAGATGCCTGTGAGTGAGCTTACAGAAAATAAGGAGTCAAATGTGTTGTCCAAGCTAGAGTAGACAGATATGACATGGGAGACTACCTGCCAGAGATGGGGCAAGACCTGCTAGAGCAATTAAAAAATCACCAATGTTAAGGTGCCTGAATAGAGCCCCAACATCCAGTCAGTGTTGCAATTGCCTAAACACTTTTAGCTACTGCTATGTGAGATGCTGTCATGAAGATATCTGCATGAAGCTGGCAAATAAGACACCAGACATATGAGATATCCAAACCCTACCGGAGTAATAGCAGGACACCAAGGGGGACACCTTTTAGATAAAGTGACACTCAGCACCCAACACTCAACACACCTGCTTAAAGAAAGGCACCTAACATCATGTTAGATGCTCCAAGCATCCAAGACCTCCCCATCAAGCCTATAGATATGATGCAGGACCTGTGGGAAAGCCTCACCTTTCAGGGCTGGTAACCAGAAAAGAGGAGGAATAACCCAGAGCAACTGAAATTGTACCAGATGTCTATGTTTGTGAAACTAAACCCCAGCAGATGAAATCTAATGAATTAGTCATCTGGCCAAAGACATGTAGGACCCCAACACCTCTCCCCACACCACTGGTGAATATGCCTCTGGCTAGTGTTGGCTAGATTATTAGTCATGCATTGGTCATTGGTCATTGCATTAGTCAGACATAGTCAGACCAGATGGTCTTGGAGGTATTCTCCAACCTTAATGGTTCTATGATTTTATGACCTCATGAGGACTAGATCTGGTGAGAGTGGGGCTCTGCTTATATTCACACACCTGTATGTAGACATACAAGTTTTGTTATCTACAGAAACCTAAAGATGAGTTCTCAGCCTAACTCTATTTTTTTTTCCTTTTCTGCCATAAATGCCAAGAGGTTTATTTACCTGTGATTTTAAGTATCCACCTAACTTTTAGGTAATTAGATGGTAATGGATTTCTTGCCATCTACATTCAGTATGGCTAACTTGCCCACCTAGGTTAAGATGCACCAGACCATTCTCATGAGAGGTGAACCACCCTGGAGAGCACACCTTGGGGGCTAGCAGTACTTGTTGGCACCCATCCTTCCCCATCACATACAATACCAGAAATCTAGGGACATCTGTGCCAAAATTAGATGTCTACATAATTCATGTTGGATCACAGTTTCATGTGCTTAATATAAAAACTTCTCTGAGCCATGCTGATATGATTTTAAAATGCCTGAAGTTCGATGAATTTGCTTAAAGCTTGATGAATTGATCTGTGTGATGCTCCCTGTAGAACCCTGTTAACACCCATCTAACTTAAAAACAGATTTAGGCAGTAAAGACTAGATTTACACACCTTATTTGATAATTATACATCGAATAGTCAAGCCCAGCTTATGTTGAAACAAAGCTTTCCATCACATCTTATATTTTCCCTATGTAGAAATGTTTTCTCTTACAAATCTACTGTAATGCAGCTGTTGCTTCTGCATCCCCAACACTTCATGTAAAACCATCTGTATTTTCCAATAAGTTCTAAAACATCTCTTCTGTATATCATTTACTGCAGTTTTTCCTTTGAAAGCAGTTGTAGCTCCTCCATGCCAGGAATATTTTGGGGATCATCAGATCCCGATGCAGATACTGGCAGGGGGTGACAGATTGAAATCACTTTCTACAACAGACTGGACTGGCACATTTAAAGTTAGATGATCTTCAGAAGGACATCTGACCCACACTGATTGCAGTGTAGAATATGAACCTCAATAAAAAGCAAACACCAGAGCACTCTCTTACCACATTAAGTCTCCAAACTAGCTCATATTCTTTCCATATAAAAAGCTTACTTAAGAAGTCAGTACATTATTCTTTTTATTATTGAGAATAAGACAAGAGGAAATCAAACATAAATCAGTCAAAGAAAGCCTGTGAACTGCAGTTCACAGCTAGCCATATCTTCTCACGGATGGTTTGCTATAAAGAGCAGCTAACTCTTTATAAAAAAAAAAAAAAATACACAAAATGCTCAGAGATTTAAGATCACTTTTAGCTGCTAATAGCTATGGCCTTTGTTATGGACAAGATACTGGGAAAGATCAACATCTTCTCCAAGCTGGTAGGGCAATACTTATATTCTTACTTTTTTAATCAACTGCACCTTGAAGTCACTGATTTACTTCTAGGCCGAGTAATTTATCTACAGCAGCCATTTCATTTGTAGAGACGTGTGACAGATGGAGGTGCTGTTCCTTTGCAGCTCAGAGCTTTCCTGCATGCCAAGGTCTCCATCCCTCTGCCTCCAGGCAGCTCTGCAGAATTATTTCCAATTTCTATCTTTGGTGATTCATAACATTGCAGTCTGCAGTCCTTTGTACTAGGGGAGGTAGCTCTGTATTCTCTATGTAGTTTAGACTGTACCACAAGAGTCTGGATGGGATCCCTAAAGCACTGTTATTTCTTGTTATGGTACCAGTGAAACATCAAGAAATGCAGTTTGAGGCTGGGTGGTTTTGGCAGTCATGTTTCGTTCTTCTGTGTTCACACTCCCCTGGGATTATTCTCATGTAAGCTTTCAAAGGCCACTGATGACAAATGAGTCTCATCTTGTGAAGCAAGCACCTATTATGATGAGACTAAACCCTTCCCTGGCTCAGCAAAGCAGTCATCATTCTGTGAATCTCCAGAAGCAATATAAAACTTATTTTCGCTTAACCATGACTTCAGTAGAAAGTCATTTCTTCTCCCATACTTTCACAGTTGTTTTTAAGGAATATATTTATTTTCCAGACCCGTACAAACAGAACACTGGCACCAGGGCCAAATTTGAATATAGATAGCAAATTAGGTTGGCACCGGTAAGAAAGAAGTAAAATACTTTTAAACTACATTTGGCACCATACATCATGAAGGTTTGCCATTAGTAGACTAGACTGTTGTACGCATGCACATGAGGAGTTCCACAGACATCAGTAGGATAGCCTGTTTTGTAGACTAATTACAAAATACACCATAACCTGATAATGAACATGAGAAAAGGGTATATCTGCCCCAAATCCCTTGCAACCTAAATATGAGACAAAGAAAGTAGATTAAAAAAGACAGATAAGAGAGAACAGGGAAGCAGTGATACAGTATTTTCTCAGGATACAATGCCAGCACAGAGAATAATGTCCGCCTTTTATCAGCCCAGCAGCAGTAAAAGGCACAGATAATTTTTTACAGCAATTCAAAGTCAGAAATAAGGTAGCTTTGCAGATGTCTATAAGGAGTACCTATGAGTACAGAGAGCAGCAGGGGACAAAGTGTGCATACTTAACAAAAGATGATGAAGACTTTTACTGTAGAATGATTGGAGGAATAGGCTGATTTTCTAGGAGAGAGATATCTGCAAAAACACTCTTGATCCCTGTGAGCAGCATAAGACTGCATTTGCCAAGGTCATAGAAGGGAATGCTGCAGTAATCAAGAGAAGATAAGCTAGGAGCCTGAATAAAAGTTTCAGATGTGTGGATGGATAGAAAATGCCATACCTTAAATATGTTATGCACAAAGTGTGTGGGAGATGCAAGCATAGCCCAAGGAATAAGGACTGAATGAAATAGTCTGAAAAAGCTAGAGTCTGGTGAACTCACACTGCCATTTATAGGTCTGGATGTCAGATGTGCTGGAGTTCACTGTGGTCAAAAAAAGAATGTGAGGAAGGACTGGAGAAGAAAATGAATTAAGTGCCTCGTTTAATCAAGGAGAGCGTAAGACCTCAAGATTGGCTTCTGAACTATCTCAAAACAAATACAATATTTATAACAAAGGAGTTCCTAATTTTTAAGCACCAAGAATATAAACAGAAGAATACATGGCTGGATGCTTAACTTAGTGCACAACTGTTCATATCAGTGCAGGATGTGCAGTGACTTACTGCTGAATAGTGAATCTCCTCCGTAAGTTACAGTCATTGCATGTGCTGGGGAGTATGTGAATAGTTATGAGGTTGGAGAGCTTAAATCCTTTCTGCTTCCAAACACAGCCAGGATGCTTAAAAGAGAGGCCTTTTACAGGCCTTTAGAGCCTGTAAAATTAAAAACATATTTTTAACATGGTTTCAGTGGAGCTGTTAAAGAACTGCATAATCATTATTGGTGTCAAATTACTTCATACAGCATTTACTCTTCGGTCTATTTCTGCAATATACTGCATTCAAACTAATCATTCACCCTACCATATAGATACTTGCCTGAAATTATGAATGATGGCTTGACCAACCAAATCAACAATCCAGAAGTAGATGTGGACATCACAAGGCCAGACACCTTCATTCGACAACAAATCATGGCTTTACGTGTCATGACTAACAAACTGAAGAACGCATATAATGGCAATGACGTCAACTTCCAGGATACAAGTAAGAAACCATTAGCTGTCATTAAATAAGCATATTTTTGAAATGCATTTATAAATCATTTCCATTTTAAATGGCTTTGTGTTTGTGCTCCCTGCTTCTGACAACATTAAAAAGTCTTACTCTTTTCCACAAAATCCCAATTACATATTTGTTCCTTTTGCTTCTCTTGTTTATCATCATATCAAGTGCATCAAAACACTGAGGGTTTTCCATTATGCGGTATTTCCATTAATTTCCATTAAGGGAGTCCAATCCTTTTTCAGAAGGGCATTTCAACACCTAATTAAATCACAGCAGCTTTCATTCGGATGATTTATTGAATGAAAGTTACTACCCCAAATGCTTTCCCATTATGTTCATCCCCACCAGGGCACTGGGTGAGACAGGAACAAAGAAAGGGAAAATAGTTTTAACCCAGGGCCCTCACCCTATTTTCCTAACTCCTTTGCACCAGGTGATGAGACCAGTGGCTCTGGCAGTGGAAGCGGCTGTACGGATGACATCTGTCCCACCGAGTTCGATTTCATCACAACCGAAGCACCGCCTGTCGACTCTGACAGAAGGGAGGTGGAGGCTTCAGCCACGCAGCCTGGCCGATCGCTGCAGATGTTGATCATCGTCTTCATCAGCCTCATACTGCAGAGACAATGGAGATAATCCTGGATCTGGTCAGAGAAACTGTGTTTTAGCTACAGAAACAGCCAACTTCCTTCTTTTCTTACACTCTTGGACGATGGACCATGCCACAAACACTTGCAGTTTTCTATGAGAAGAGAGCAGTACTGCAACCTGCTTCCCTTTTTGTTTTCCCAAAGAGTACCAGGTGCCAGACTGAACTGCTTCCTGTTTTTTGCAGATATCTCTGAAGACAATATCCACTCTTGAGAGAATTCTTTCTCAGATCTTTATTACAGGAGACTTTTTGAGCTTCATTTCCTTTTATGCTGCAGAAGTAAAAGGATCTTACAGTGATTTTTTTTTTCCCTAATGAGAAAAAAAAAAAAAAAAGTGTTGGGGGGGAAACCAAGAAAAGAGTTTTCTTTCTGAATTGGGCCTAACTCAAGTCTGCTGCATTTCAACTGAAAATCAACACAAAAGACAAGAAAGAAAAAAAAATGCAACTGTTCTTCACTGACAGTCAGGTTTCTTTTAGGAACTTCTGTGGGATGATTCACGTCATCAGAATGATCATTGCTATAGGAAGGCAGTCTGGATTTTTTTCCGACACAAAAGTTTGTCTCAACGGTGAATGTCTTGCACTCCATCTGCCAACCACATCAGATTGGTATGAAGGTATAGAAAGTTGAAAAATAAGTTTATCTTTTAGTATGACAGTAACTCCACTAGCTTCAGAATATCATGTTACAATTTCTTAGGGTTTAAATCTTAAGACACAGGAAAAAAAGAAAAAAGAAAAAAAAAAAAAGAGTAGTAGCACGATTTTGCCTAGCTTCTTTTAGTATTTATCCATGTTATACAATTGGCACAGATATCCACATAGCTCACCATCAGCCGTGGTGGTAATGCTAAACAAATTTCCTGATAAATCTCCCCTCAAGGGTTTGGACAGAAAATAATCTCTTGTGATAAAATCTCCTTCCTTTTGTCACTGTTCTGACATCGATTAGGACTTTCTGCTACTATGTTTATTATCCTACCAAGATGGCAATTCTCTAATGGACTAACAACAGCGACCGGATCAATAGTGTGTTTCACATCTAACTACATCTTTCATATCAGTTAATTTCAGTATCACAAGGATTTCTTCTACAACTTTCAGAACAAACAAGTATATAGTACTGACATGGAGATTTCTTTCACTTTTTTAGTCTTAGTATGATCATCTATTTTTATATATATAAATATATATATATAAATCACAGATTTTAACTTCTTAATTACAAGCTCAGGGTTGACACTTCTTTGTAAAGAAAAAAAAATGTTTGGTCAACCAGCTCTTCTTTTTTTGTGCTACTCTGAAAAGCAACCCTTTAATGACTGGTCAGCATGAAAATCAAAGAAGAGATTTTTTTACATATCCAGTTGTCCATTTCTTAACAGGTTTGCAGGGTGGGGGAGAAAACCTCTCTCATCTTTGTGTATTTGTGTGAGCATGGGAGTTTGTGTGATAGGCCTAGAGAAGGAGATAGATGTCATTTGTGAAGGCAATTTTACTCACAGATTCTTCAAGGATACGTTGCTTTAATATTCATTGTTTGGATGGCTGTGGTCCTGGATAGAGTTTTCGTGATTTGAGTCTGGTTGTAAGACCTGAGATGGAAGCTATTCAAATCCTGGACAAATGAGTGTCAACAATTAGACATCAAAGACTTCCCTCCTTCATCAGCCACAGACAAAGGGCTCCTGTGACAATTCTGTGTGGTGCTGAAATGATTCACCAGAAACTCATTTCCTGATTCTTATGGTGACTCTGGAAATGGTATAGACAAATTATGAAAACATTGCAAAGTCATCCAACCACATAACAATTTAACAACGGAGCAGGTAGATCATATCCATTGCAACCTCTTGTCAAATTATAATTAGCTATCGATTTAGGCACAAAATTAAAGGAGAAAACACACAGCACATTAGGATAAAGGATACTTAAGCACTTTTACCAAAAAGTATTTACAAATTTTCTATACAGTATGTCTAAAATAAAAAGTAATTTTTTTTTCATTTGTTTACTTTACAGTATAATGATCTATTCTTGGCCCAACCTCATGTGCAGGAGTCACTGGCTAGATGTACAGACCATGTATGTCTTACACTAGCCTTAGCAGTGTTTCCTGATGCTCTGATGGCTCACTCTAGAGAGGACCTCATGATTCAGCACTTAATAGAAAGTTAAGCAGTGTTTAAGCCAATTCTCACAGGCTTTTTTGTTGACCATGGTGCAGCAGGTACTGAGCAGAGGATCTTCTCTTTGAGTTTTAATTTTTTGTATTTTTGCTTGTTTGTTTTGTTTTTCCTGAATTTGAATACAAGGAGAGTCCTTTAAAACAAAACTCCCTTGGTCCATCTCTTTCTACCTGTATACACATCCTTTTTTGTGCTATTCCTCCTCAGCAACCTTGTTTCAGGACAAGCTAAGTCTCATTTTTATTGTCCCATTGTGTATTTATTCCATGGCAACTGATACTATTTCTATCAGCTTATTCTGGGCCTGGAAGTTTATTGACAGGTAATGAAATCCAGCCCCCGAGGCAGGTCCTCCACTGTAGCTGCTTCACACAGGTGGACTCCAGGGGTCTTTGTGTTAGCCTTGGCCTGGGGTTAGCTGATCTGATGACTGTGGGTTTGATGATCTGGTGTGTGAACTGGGTCCAGTGTGCCCTCAGCTATTCGTGGACCTCCATGGATCATGGGCAAAGAGTAAGAGGGATTACTAGGAACTAGGGGCCTGCTGAGGGCTGTTCTTGGAGGGGGGTTAAATGTCGTAGCAGGGAGCTTGCAGGAGGGGCCCTGCTCTGCTTGGGCTGAATCTTATGAACTGCTGGTAAATAAACCCAACTGATCTCTGCTGAAATGTGATTGTCTCGTGGGAGTTCTGTCAGAAATTTATGTCTTTCATATTATTCTTTTGTTTATTTTTCTACTATGCATGGCAATATCTTGTCAGGAGATGGAGATCCCTTTGCATGAAGTATTAGGCATACATTTCTTTAATAGTCCCAGAAGGTTGAATATTCTCTTTACAAGTTGTATTTTTCTGAGATTAAGAGAGCTATTAAATCTACAGAGCAAATGAAATTGGGGAGGAAGGAAAGAAAAGAAAGAACAGTCATGTTCATAAATGCGAGAATCTACATAATTTCTAGCACTTCTATTTGCACCTCCTTTACATCCAATAAGTCTTCTTTTAAGGTAATTTTTTCATGTGCCACAATTCAAATATTTCTCTTCTGCTAACAGCTGGTAAAGGAATAATAAAGAAGACAATTACCTGTTCAAGAAAAAGGACACCATTTCTAAGGAAAAATCCTTTTACTGTATAAACCCTTTATGCTGTGCAACCCGGTTCTTGCCTTTATATATTCTTTAAAGAGGAGGTTCTTTAAAAATCAGACGTAATGAATAACATAGCCAGTGCTAAAGAACCCTGTGAGGTTTTCCATTTTATCATTAATTAATTTGATTTCGCATTGTCCCCAAATTTTTAGTGTTTAGTATACTGCAGATTTTTTTACTGTTGATTCTGCATACTCCTGTAACTATAAGGCAGACTACCTGAGGTCTGGCTACATCTTAGGCATTTCAGAAAAGACAATCAGAAAGAATTGAAAATAGAAGATAGAAAATTCCCACTGAAGAGAAAAAACAGAAGAACCTGTGCCCTGGGGTTCTCTTAAGGGCTGATCTATCCCAGTTCCCTAAAAGTATCACAGACCTCTGTCCACAGAAAGCTCACAAAATCTAATTCTCGGTCATACAAATCAGCCCAGTTCTGTGTGATTTTAGGAAGGATCATTACAGCTGTACATTCCCACAGCTGCGTGAACCTGTTTGAGCTGCTTCCATGCAAAATGGCTACGAGCAAGAGCTGTTCTCGGGAGGTGGGCTGCATGTACACCATCTCAGCAGGCAGCATTTGCCTTCATTTTGCTAACTGACCCTGAATCATTATCAAATGTAACTATACTTATTCACCAAAACTTTTTTTTATTGCTTCAACATAAAAAAAAATAAATTACAGCACTAATGTGAGTTGTGTTTTTCATTTTTTATTCACTCCCGAAGATAATCCATTAAAATTGAATACAGGAAATTGTAGAATAATTCTCATGGAAAAATCAGGTTTCTACAGTTTCATTATGGAAATAAATGTCTGGACAGACTGCAGATATTAAGAATAAATTAACATTTCTCAAACCACAAGGCTAGTATTTACTATATTAACCCACACATTTTCAAACCTGCCAGATGAGAATGAATAGAATTAACACCAGTAAAACATAGCATTACAAAAGCCCTAATTTCAAAGGGAAATTGAAAGGCTATGACTTAGCTGTGGGGTTGAGAATATGTTGTCAAAATGCAATAGAACAGCAACGTATACTTTCAAGAAAATTGGGGCAGGTGATGCACCAAATAGGGCAATGTTTCCATTCCAGCTACTCACATGGTCTGTGATTATCATATTAACATGTGTAATTCTGACTCTTTTTTGAAAAAATACTGATAGAGACCATAGTGTCATGATAACAGTATACCTGAAAGATAAGCAGTATGATATTAACCCTTTTCTCATCCAAGAAAAAGCATAGGAAACCTAATGGAGAACCAAGAACTTTAATATTGACTTTTAAAATAAACTTTTAGAATCAGGCAAGAGAGATAGTCTCAAATTAATTTAGTCAGACCATTTTACAGCAGTCTATTGCTGACCAATATAACTAAACAATCACTTGAGGATTATTTATCAATGCAATGTGAAGCATTCACTGCTAGTACTTACTACTTTTTCTGCTGAACTTACTGTATGGTTTACAGCTCTGATTGTGCATCACATGCAATCACTACATTGCACTTGTGTAAAATCCCATCCCATCCCTTACTGAAGTAAAGAAGAGCTTTGTCATTGGCTTCAGTGAAACAAGGATTTGGACTATAAACAGACAGAGTGAAGTAAATCCTTCTTTCTGGAAGCTGTTCATATTTGATGTCTTTCTGACTCTCAGAAAAACAGCAACATTGTCCATTAAGAAGTGACATTAGCATCCTCATGTGTGTTTCCAAACTTTACTCCAAAGCACTTGCAGTCTTCATGCCCAGCTTCCCCACAGCTGAGGTCTCTGAATTTCCCAGAAGTTGAAGAAAGTCACATAGATTTGTCCTTAGCTTGAACCACTAAACAAACCATTGATGTTTATATAGAAAATAAGACAGTGTTTAAATCAGCTCTCCTTTCAACTTATTTTTAATTATGTGACATCAATACTTAACAGCACAACATGGTTGAAAGGCTTCTGTCTCATGGCACGCTGAAATTATTTTTTCTGCTTATTTATCCTCCCTTATGCTGGTACCAGGAAATCCGTGAATTTTCATGCTTTAATCACTAGGCAGCATCCAGTGGTGTAGTTTGTTTATCAAATTAAGAACAGGTGCATTACCAAAAGAAGCTGTCCTTTTTCTTGCAAAGGATGAGGAAAATAAAAGTATCTATTCATCATTAGGAAAAAAAAAAAAAGAGAGAGAGAGAGAGAAAAGATACAGAATGTCACCTATTTATCTTAGATATAGTGGAGTACCTTCTGTCAGTACCTCTGAAGACCTCTTAATGCCAAATTTCCTGAGAAGACAGATCTACTTCCTCTGAAGATTTCTAAAAAGTACAATTTTATGAATATATATATATATATATATTATGTGTATATATATATATATATTTATATGTAAGGTTTTTAGTTCCAAGTGGCAAGGAAGATGGGAAGAAATGTACCTTCCTCAAAGTGCTAGTCATTTAGACTGTTATGTTGCTCTCCCTCCTGGAGCTGCTTCTAACCTTTCTCAGGGCTCTGCTGAGCTACCACTCGGATGATCTGAGGCAAGGACCCTCCTGGGAGGGCCATTTTTCCCCGCCAGCAGGGACTGTGTTCTTCCAAGATGTTTAGAGGGACAACTGAGGAGTGAGTGACAGGAGCAATGACTTCAGAGTGACACCAGTCAGACACATGACTGTAAGGGATTAACTATTGTTAAATCACACAAGGGACATCTAGGGCTCCTCACTGCTCTCCAGCTCTTACCTTGACCTACTGTTTGTGAATTTTCTGTGTTATCCAGTTTAAACCACCCACTCGTGTACACAGCAAACACACAACACAAGTCAGCGATGTTTCTCTACTCTTCTGCAATGCTATCTCTTTCTCTCTCGTCTTCATTTCCAGGTGCTTTGCCTAATTATCTTCCAGCGTGTGAGGAATAATTTACTACCTAAAGCAGACTTCTGTGTTTTCCTAACTTTTTCTTAAAAGTATCAATTATTTTGTAACACAACTCCTTTGCATTCTCTCAAAAATAACTTGATTCCATTACACATCCAGTGAGTTTTCTACTCAAGACTAAAGAGGTCCCTCATGTGGACTTAGGAGAAAACTCAAACTCCAGTCATTGAACCAATGATTTGCAATGTTTAGCAGGGGTCTCCCAAATTCCACTGAACACCAGGTTATATGTGAGCTGTGGTGTTTCTCCCCTCTCTGCCCTCAAAGTATCCTGGACCTGAAAAATTTTTCAAAATTAATGTTTCATCAAAGCTAGTGCATTCAAGAAAAAAAAAAATCCTTTTTAGCAAAGGAGTGTTTTCTGATGATAAACATTTCTAAGCTTTCTGTGGCTCTCCCTCCTCCTGTGTACCACACATCCTTGTCTGTCTTCAAGTCACCAGTGTCCCCATGACTGTTTTCTTCTCTGGGCTGAAATCTTTCCAGTCATTTTAGCTCACTGGATTTTCTATCTCCTTTTCCCAGAGCACTATGCCTTTGGTAACACTTCAAGCTTTTTTTTTAATTTTTTTTCCTTTTTTCTTTTATTTTCAGGCAACAAATGTAACAACAAAGAGATTTGGTCCACTTCTCTTTATGATTTTTTTGTTTGTTTGTTTTCCAGGCTTTAGCAGCACCTACCTTTACCTTTCATTATCCATTCCAAGCATATACTGCCAGGAGCATGTTCTTCACCACCTGAGATAAATCCTGATAACTCTTTTTTTCAATCTAATGCAGCATTACGGTTTATAGATTATATTTTGACTTATTCAGTTGTGGCAAAATTTTGTTTCTTCCCTGTAACTATAGCACGTAATTTTTATTTCATTACTGTCTGCTGTGCTGATGAGCCAGCAAAGCCAATGGCAAGGAATTTGTAGATTTTCTGTAGCAAGATTAACTGAACAGGTAACGCTGTCAGGAAACATTTCACATCCATTCTGTAGCTGATTGTTTTGAGGTTTGGTGATGGATTTATTTTTTTTCCTTTCATTTTATTTTAACATTTACAGTTTCATTTGATTTACTTTCTTATTGGCTATGTGTATATTATATTATATGCATGTAACATAATTATAGATGAACTGTTACAGTCTTTAGATAACACAGATAAAATTTAAGTAGTCAGTCAATCTTTGTCTGCTTGTATGAGCTGTGGAGTGATGAACACTCTTAAAAATCTATCCAAAGAGAAATTGGAGGAGTTCAGATCTCAGCTTTATACTATTGTTGAGCTTGAGACTGCAAGAATATTGAATATTTTGCAAATAGTTTCTGAATATGTGTATGTACATGGTGGTAGATGGGGAAGGGGGCACTTGCATCTCCAAAATATTCTGAAGCTTCTTTCCAGCTTTTACCTAATCTGAAAGCACATTTACAAATGAATAGCTTGCATTCAGATGTTCAGAGATCTCAAACTACATAAAATGATGGACATCTACATACAGACTCCTTCCTGGTTACTTTGCTTTGTTGGTAGGCAATATCGTTTAATTTCCACTAGCAATTTTGTTACATTTAGTAAATTCGAAGAAAGCGTGTTATTGAAACAGGTCAGATATCTTGATTTGGGTTTCAATTGACATTTATAGTTGCCTGTTAAACTTTTACGACTCCAGATGTATGAACATTGCTTGAAAGCATGCAAATTGTTAGCTCCAGTTTTGATGCTGTATTTCTAGATTAGTATTTAAAACAGTTAAATGCGAGTTGATAGAGGGGCTGTTTGAAGGCAAGTCAAGTTTAGAATAAAATTGGTTTTACACAGAAATAGGGCTGAGTTGAGAAAATCTCATTAAACATTAAACCTGCTTTTCTACAGATCCAATTTTAACATTTCAGCCTAATCTGACACCAAAAAAAAAAAAAAAAAAAAAAAAAAAAAAAAAAAAAAAAGACTATAGGTCCTGTTTATAGATCATACCTGAAACTAAATGATACAGCTTCAGCTTTAGGAGAGTTTCAATCAAAACAAAAGTCAAAGAAAAATGCCAAGTTCTCTCATTTCCAAATACTACTTATAATGATACATTATTTAGCAGCATATAACTGTGTGTGTGTATATAGCAGTGTAGCAAGGCAGAGTTTGAACTTTTAAGGAAAAGGTTCTTTATGGCTTTATAACTTCAGAGAAGTAATGTACCATGGACAGGATCAGAAAAATATATACAATTGTTTTGATACATTTGTGAGACAGATTTCACAGAGCCCAATATTTTTTGTGTAAAATGCCTTAAGTCACTTTCTGTAGGGCTAATGCAATTGAATTTTTTTCTGTATATAGCCTTTTATAATAATTACTTCGGATGCAACACTAGACTTTTCTTTCCACTACAATCAATATAGAGCCTTACAATTACCAAGTATGATACACAGACTACGAAAGCTCTGCGTTATTAGCTGTAAATGCACTTTCAATCCATTTCAAGACTTAGAGCTTGGAAGCAAGAAGAGGTGACAGTGCCAAGAGCACCAAGACCTTCCTGATAGACCATGCTTATGTCCTCTCAGGCTTGAAATCCTTTCCTGCCCCATCCTTTTCCTTTCACCCCATCTGTCTTCAAGAAAACCAGCTGTGTCTTAAGGCCTAGGTTCATCCCACCTAGCGCTAGGCACTTCAGGGAGCACAGCACTAGGCAGAGTTGTCTTTCTGGGTCTCTGCTGTTAGTCAGAAGAGATGGGCAACTCCATATCTGGGTTGGAGCTTCTCTCTTTTCCCTGCACAGGCAGCCTGGGTAGACAAGGTCTGTCATTTAGGCACCTCACTTAAGTGCCTGTAGGTAGATGCTGCTGGTGAGATTGGGGAGATCCAGGCCTCTCTCAGACTCTCCCCATCCTTCTCCTTGTTGGCACAACAGTGCCTCTTCTTCTTGCCAATGATGGAGTGGGGAGCCTGGACAGGAATCCCAGGTGGGGAAGTCACAGTATAATGACTCCTTTGTTTCTGGGCTGAAACACTCCCGATGTAACTAGACATACACCCAAAGTACATTCACTGTGTTGAATTCTGCCTAATGCTGTTATGTTTATAATGTTTCTTATAAGACTTTTCCACCTGTTCCTAGTTACAAACAGGCATTGTGGCTACCTTCATTGTCCATATACACAAGGGGATGGAGCTCCAACACATCTTTCCTGAAAACCCAGATGCCTTTCCAAGGCTGGTAAAAGCAGTTCAGGAGCTCGTCATCTCAGAGAGTTAGAGAGGAGTCAGGTGCACATCTCTGATGGGCAGAGACCAGATTACGATAGTGCCTCAAGAGCGAGAGCAGTGATAAAAATACCTTTCAGGTTTAATCATTAATGCACTTATTTTTTGTCAGTCTCGGCCCTTACTGCACCAATGAAAGTACACATTTTTGAAAAGGTCAGTAGAGAAGGCAAGGTTAATATACACAGGATAATGCTGACAAACCACTAATACACTTCTTGCAAAATAGCTGATTGTTATGTGTCAGAAAATAACTTTTTAAAAGCTGAAAATAAGTAAGTGCATCTTCCTTTGTAAGTCCTGCCATCTCTTGGGACTTCATAAAGAGAAAATTCTTTTTCTTTCCCCAGACTACCTTTTTGGGGCTGGTACTTGAAATGTGGCAGAAACCAAAAGTCCTAGTTGTAAGGCACCCATTCAATGTCTGATTTTCTATGTCTTCTGTTCTTCCACTTAGTTTTAATTTTTATATTTTGGTGAATGGCATACTCACATATTATATGTGGGCACGCATATTGCTCCCTATATACATATTTATTTACACACATATACACACATATATATCTACATAAATGCAGCCGCAAGCCAGTAATTTGCAAGTTCATATGTTATAAAAGGGCATTGGAAGGACTCCATTTACCATAATACCTGACACAGACCTAAAGAGAAGAGTACCAGGCAGAGACTTCTGCTTTCGAGATTATTATAATTTGTGTCTCTATAAATGTCGCTGCAATTTTCTAAAATAACTGTAGAAAGTGTGAGTCCACAGATGTTATTTGGCAACATCTGCTGGTACTAGTATGGAAAATATGAGGGAGAGGGGGAG